TTTTGATTGTGCCATGTAAACATTTTCCTCCAAGTCTCCGTTGATAAATGCCGTCTTTACATCCATTTGATGTAATTCTCAATTGTAATGTGCCACTAATGCCATTATGATTCTGAAAGAAACTTTATATGAGACTGGAGAAAATATCTCATTGTAATCAATCACTTCTCTTTGCATATAGCCTTTTGCCACAAGTCACGTTTTATATTTCTTTATATTCCCTTGAGAGCCAACTTTTGTTCTGTAGACCCATTTACAGCCTACTGTTTTGACTCCTTTAGGAATTATTTCCAAGTCCCAAACTTTATTGGCATTCATTGATTTCATTTCATCTTCCATGGCCTCAAGCCACTTTGATGAATGATCACTTCTCATGGCTTCTTCAAATGAGGTGGGATCATCCTCCATTTGAAATTCCTCAGTGTTGTACACTTCATAATCAGCAGGAATAGCTAATTTTCTAACTCTTTGAGACCTTCTAGGGGCCTTCACTTTTGGCACATCTTCTGTTTGAGGCTGTTGTTGCTCCCCCTCATGTGTGGCAATAGGTTCTATAGAATCTTGAAGAACAGGTTCCTCATTTTCATTCATTGTTGCCACAGGTGAAATAACAACAGGTGCTGACACCATAATATTTTACACTGTCGGTGCAGCGACATCATGTAGTGAGAAAATTAACTCATGAATCATTGGAGTGGGCGCATACATCCGCTTCACTTCAAGATCAATTTTCGAGCTACTATGCTCCCCCTCATCTTTTTATCCTCTAGGAAAACAGCGTGTCTCGTTTCCACAAACTTTGTGTATCTCTCTGGATAGTAGAAACGAAAACCTTTTGACTTTTCTATGTAGCCAAACAAATGGCAACTTACTATTTTGGGATATAACTTCCTAATGTTTGGGTTAAATACTTACTTGGTACTCTTTTGAGAATATGAATAGGGTTTTTAATGCCTCCATCCACAGGCTCAGCTGTAAGGTGGAGTAACTTATCATACTGCCCACCATATCCATCATGGTACGATTGATTCTTTTAGCTACTCTATTCTGCTAAGGTTCGCCCAGTATAGAATACTGGGCTACTATGCCATTCTTTTAGGGTATGCCGACTGTAGTACTCCCCCACGGTCAGACCTGACTATCTTCATCTTTAATATCTTAAATTTATTCATTGCTTCTGTTCTTTCTTTGATTGGATAAATTTAGCCATAATGGGAGTAATCATCTGTGAATGTTATGAACGAAAATCATAACGATCCACACTCTTTACAGGGAAAGCTGATCACAGATGTCTGTGTGAATAATCTGTAAAATTCATGCGCTTCGTTTGTCATCTTTCTTTACATACTTTCCTTTTATGTATTCTCTGTATTGTTCTTAATCTGAGAGCTCTAATGAAGGAAGAATATCATTCTTAACTAGTCTTTCTATTCTCCCCCTCGAAATAAGGCCTGAACGATAGTGCCATGATTTCGACGACGCATTGTGAGCTCTCTTATGCCACCATTATCAGAGTGACTATCTATCACCAGCTGCTTTATCAGGATAGCATATGTCTTTGAAGAGCCAGTGAACTGACTCTTTATTCTATCGAGGTACTCGGTGACCGTGTCACACTCTGAGATTGAGCCCACAATTGCAAGCTCAATCATGTTCTTTATCATAGCCAAACTTTTTCTTGTTGGCAGTGACCCACTTCCTATGCTCAAAAACCATAGGATATCTTTTGAGACTCAAAATCTCTTTCTTTAGTTGCCCAAGTGGCATCATTCTCTTTTGTCTCCCTCACCGGTGCCACAATCTCAGTGGAATACGGTGAGGTGACTATCCAGTCCACCTTAGACAAGATAAAAATCAAGTCAAAATTTTTCTTAACATAAAAATAACACCATTTGCATGCCTTGATTCCAACGTTGGTCAAAATCAAAACATACAATTATTCTTATACACTAATTCTACATCACCGTTGGGCAGAAATAGAATTAATGCATAAATCTTTAACTTTCACAACTGTTCTTACACACTAATTCTACATCACCGTTGAACAGAAGTAGAATTAATGCATAAATCATTAACTTTTATAACTGTTCTCATGCACTAATTCTACATCACCGTTGGAAGAAATAGAATTAATGCATAAATCATAGAAATTATCAACTTTTCTTATACACTAATTCTACATCACCGTTGGACAGAAGTAGAATTAATGCATAAATCATTAAAATTATGATATTATTATTAACAACGTTGGTCAGAAAATAACAACATCATAATCATGTCAAATCTCTTTTTCTCCAATTAAATACCACATTGGTTCAAAATAACTGGAGAATCAACATTTTCTTTAGCAAAGAAAAAAATCTCTTTTTTTCTCCAATTAAATACCACATTGGTTCAAAATAATTGGAGAATCAACAACTTTACTTTGGTCGTGGAAAAATTCTTTTTTTCCTTGAATTTTACCCACAGGGAAAATTGTATTTTCGATTTCCTTTAATCCATTAATCAATTTCCAGGAAATAAATATTTACTGAAAAAACTTTTCTTTTCTCCAATTAAATATCACGTCTGTTCAAAATCACTAGAGAATTACTCAATTTCTTAAATTTTACCCATAGTGAAAATTTACTTTTTCTATTTTTTCTTTTGAGCCAATTTGCATTTTCAATTTTCCAGGAAAAAGAAAAACGCAAAACAGGCTCATTCTTTACTCTCGACGGCCCAAAACGGCAAAAGCCATTTCGGCCCACCGTGTCCATCGCCACAAGACAGCCGCACCCAGGCCACACTACTGGCTCTGGGCCGACAAAGTGTCATACTACCACTTTGGTCATGACACCGTTTCGCTCGATCTCGCCATCGTCCAAATCCGACGGCCGAGCGCGCATTTCGCTCGAATAAAAACCCCGACACCGCGTGGGTGCCTGAAACCTTAGCCCATTTCCTTCCTTTGCTCTCTCTCTCTTCTTCGCCGCTCTTTCCTCTCTCGGCGCACCAGCAGCCACCGAGAGGATACCGAGCGAGCAGCGACCATGGCGTCGTCGCCGGCCCCCTCGCCGGCGCGCGTGCTCCCCAACGGGTGAGCACGCCACCGTCGAGCGGCCTGGCACGGCGCCCCCCTGGCCGAGCCCGGAGAGCCAGCTCCCCGGCTCGGCTTCTTCTCCCGCACCGGCGAAGGGACATCCGACGCGCGGCGAGGTAGTCTTTCTTCTCCCTTCGGATTCGATTTCTATCTTCTTTCTTTTCTTTTCACTCGTTCACCCGAAAAGGGGATCTAGGGTTAGGGTTCATTGAACCCGATTCGTGTTTTTTTTGTTTGATTCGAGTTCTCCAAGATTATCCCATTTCCCCTCTTCGGATTTGGGTCTGCTTTTCTCTTATCCGAACAAGGATTTAGATCTAGGGTTCGGAATCCGACCCTCCCCTTTTCCCCTTCTCTGATTTGTCTTTGGATCTACCATCCAAATCGGTTCCCTTCCCTTTCTTCCCCTTTCCCCTACTCTGATTTGGATCTGATTTTCTCTTATCCAAACTGATGTGGGGAATTAGGGTTTGGGTCTGGGGTTCCTTTTCTTTCTTTTGATTCGACCGATTTGGTTGTTCCCTTTGGAGTTCATCTGAATGGCTTTCTCCTTTTTCCCTTTCTCCATGCGAGTTAGGGTTAGGTCTTAGGGTTCGGCCAAATCCGAATTTGATCTGTTCTGTTCTTGGGTTAGGGTTCAGCTTCGTGAGCCGAGGGCCCTATCTCTTCTCTGATCCGAATGGATCTGTTCTTTTCCCCCGCGCGGTGGCGGTGGTGACCGGGTTCTAGTGACATCCGCCACCCCAATCCATTTTCTTTGCTTTTACCCGGTTAGGGTTAGGATTACACAGAGGCAACCGGCTCCGATACCATTGTTAGGATCAAAATGTGTACCTCTCTGTGTGTAACCGTAGATGCGGTGAAGGCTCCTCGCCTTCTTAGTAGATGCACCGCAGCGGGGAGACGCCGGTGCCGCGGTGTAGAAGGCGTCCAGCGCCATGGAGACGATCACCAGTGGCCCGGTGTAGATCCAGTGGCGTTGTGGTGACCCGTAGTGGTACGGTAGTGATCCTGCAGGGGCGACGGCGGAGTCGGTGGGCTCATCCCGTCGCTGGCAGCACAACCTTTAGATCGGATTAGGGTTTTCTTTTGGTGGGTGTGGTGGCTCACGGCGAACCTCGTAGTCTGAGCCCTCATCCCCACCTTCCTTTTATGTGTGCTGTGCGACAGGGGACCCACCAACCGGATTAGGGTTGGCTCCCCCGATCAAGAAGCAGAGATAAGGGCCCAATAGGCCTGGTGGAGATCAACTAACACAGAAAAGGCCCCTTTCCAGATTGTAAGACTGCGACGGCATCACGAAATTTAGAGTAGTAGTAACACATAAGCTTTACAATCACATTTCTTATCACTACTCTTTGCACTCAAAAAGTAATTCCATTGTCTGCCTTTTCTGCATATCACATGCCTTGCTTTATTTACCTAAAACACATCAAACTGGAGCACACAAAGAAACATCAGCAAACCACTCCAGCAGTTAACATTTCTACATTTGCATACCTGATAGTTGCAAGACAGACAATCACAAAGAACAATGAACAGAACTGAACATTAATAAGGAAGCAAACTAGCACTGAACAATATAACTGGACCTACATAATTTTGTGCAGCACTAAATGTTCTCAAATAGTCATGCTATATATATTTACATGCGCCTGATTTTCACTCATCACTAGCTCTGACCGGACTCGATCTTCCTTGCTTGAGCAAGATCAGGCCAATACACTTAGCTGAGAGATCAAATGTTTTACCATACAAATTGCTCCAGCTAAACCTCACCTTCTCTGCCTCCAGATTTACACACGTACTGCACTACCCAAGTGTCGATATCTCATCACCACAAATTCAGTTCCCTAACCATCCTATTTTAGTTTACACAATTGGAGCACCAGAAACTTGAACATGGAACCAGCAATTCTCATCCATTGCAGATGGCATTGAGGAGCACATGCCCCAGCATCAGGTCCACGAAGTACTGGTGCCCAATCTTGCCGTCCCGCCACACAAGCCTCGCTGGTGCACGCCCGTAGTGCACACCGTCATTGCAACGGTTGTCGTAGTGCCATGCGAATGTTATGTCGAAATTGTCGATCACTCCACCAGTGAGCACCCCGTACTGCCTCATCTTCTCAACGAGCACACCATTGAACGCCTCCATCTTGTTTGGATTGAATGCCAGGTCCCTAGCATAGCCCCCGGTGGCGATCGTCGTCCGGTAGAACACCCTAGGCACAGCGTGCCCACGAGCCCGGACTTTGGCCATGACTCCGGACCAGAACTGTGCTGCAAAATCCGCACCCTGCGCGTAGGCGCGGACGCTGGTCCAGTAGCAGCCATCATGCAGGCCAGAGTTCAGGACCACGACGTCCGGGACACGATCACCGGACATGAAGTAGGATCGGATGAGCTGCCGGAAACCTCTGTTCCGAAGGGAATGCAAGCCGAGATAGTTCATGCTCATGTTCCAGTGGCCGTTGAAGATGCTCGTGATCCTCACAGTCTCTGCCCCGCCACTGGGATTGGTGAACACTGCATCGAACCGGCGTGTCACGGCAGACGTATCCGTGATGCCGAGGACGAAGGTGAGGAGGTTCCGGATGGTGTCGACATGGTTGGAGTCGCCCCAGAAGAAGAGCCACTTGCCGTCAAGGCACCGCCACGCCGCATCGGCCGTAAAGAGCTTGAAGGAGCAGTGCGCCGAATAAACCCAGCCGTTGCTCTCCAGCGCGCCGAGCGGCCCGTCGCACCACGGTGCCTCGCACGGGTGGTCCGGCTCCAGGCACCGGTACCGCCCCGCGATGTCGACGTCGTCGCAGGTATCGTTCTTGTCGAGCCGCGTCCACCGTCCCGACCAGACATCGCGAGAGAAGTCCGCGGCGCGGCACGTCTCCAGCGCCGGCAGGGACGCGTTATTTTCCGGCCGGAACAGGAGGGGGATACGGCGCAGCTCGGCGCGGTACTTGAACCTCGAGGAGGAGAACTTGAGCCCCTCGAAGCTGCGGAAGAGGAGGACGACGGTGAGGCGGAACTCCCCGACGGCGAAGCGCGGCGCGACCTGGAGGCGGAAGGAGTAGGAGCCGTCGCCGTGGTCCACGATGGGGGGCCGCGACTTCCAGGCGTCCCCGGAGAGGTCGACCTCGAAGTAGTCCCCGCCGAGGCAGCGGCGCTGCCCAGCCTCGTCCAGCGCCCAGAACGTGACCTCGTGGATCTGGCCCGCGCCGAGAGCGGTGGCCTCCCCGCTCGCCGCGGCGTCGTCGAGAACCCCGACGGAGATGTTCGCCGTGCGCGCGTCCCGGCACGGGGAGCCCCCGGGCGCGAGCCACCGCGCGAGTAGGTCGTCCGTGAAGTTGGGGCGGTCCGGCACGGAGAGCCACGAGAGCGCGTCGGTGTCGGTGCTGCCTCCGCCTCCAACGCCAACGCCGACGCCGATGTAATGCAGGTACTGCTGCCGCAGGCTGCGGTGCGCGCCGGCGCCGGTAAGGGAGGCGTCGGCGGCGAGGAGGAGGATGACGGCGAGGAAGGACGCGAGCGCGAGCTTGGCTGCGGAGGGGCCGGGCTTCTTGGGGTGGTGGTCGCCCCCGCCGCCGAAGCAGGAGGAGGTCTTGTTGTTGGGGTCGGCCCCGAGGTGTGGCTGCTTCTTGTTGTCCCCGGCGGCGAGGGATGGGTGGTGGGGCGCCGAGTGGGGCGGCGACATTGCCGGGCGGGGTTGCTGCTACTTGGGGCTAGGCGCGGTGTGGCCTCGCATGCGTCCGCGTGTGCGAGGGCGCTGCTCGCGCGGGGCGGCGACAAAGGGAACGCCAGCGGCCGAGGTTTTCGCTTGCCGCTTGGGGTTTTTTTTGGGACTTGCTGCTCTGGACGACGCCGACACAGGTCAGGTCAGACTGGGCGTGATGATAAAGGCACACCAGAAATTCAATGCAATGTGTTTTTTGAGCCTAGAAAAAAATAGGAATGTGTTTTACAGCAGTGTCTGATTGAAATTGATGGCTGAACGATTACAGTTGGACCATAACTAAATTGATTGCATCCTGTGTCCGTTAGCTTCGGCTTATAAATCGTATTTTTTCAATCGAATGATGATATTTTTATCTCACATAATAAATTAATCAACAATCATAGCTTATCAGCCAAGCGAATAGGATATATATGTGTGGAGTCTGTCTGTCTTTAAAACACGGGTGACGGGCTGAAGGCATGGGAGCACGATAAACGGATTGGATTTGAACAGGTATACTCCCCCGTTCACTAAATAAATATTGTTACTTTGATTAAATATATAAGAAATATTAATGTAATATTTGTAGTACAAAATTAATATCATTAAATAGATCGTTGAATCTATTTTCGTAATACATATATATAGAGATTCAAATGTTGCATATATTTTCTACAAATTTACGATAGTTATTTAGGGTAAGAAATAAAGATAGTTATAATATTTCGTAGAATTAATTTAATTACAAATAATTTGGATAAAATATGAACACACACGAATTTGAGTATTCGGATATAAATATGGATACTGAATTTTTTGATTTACATATAGTATATTTTATCATAGGGTACTGAAGCCCTTGATTAGTTGGAAAATATCTAAACTATTTTCACCTTCTTAGTGAGGCCTTGTTTAGATTGGGGTTAGGAATAGTATTTAGCACTGTAGCACTTTCGTTTGTATTTGACAATTATTGTCCAATCATGGTCTAACTAGGCTCAAAAGATTCGTCTCGTAATTTACAATCAAATTGTGTAATTAGTTATTTTTTTTTATCTACATTTAATACTCCATACATGTGTCAAAGATTTGATGTGATGGAGAGAGAACGAAAAAACTTGCAATCTAAACCAGGCCAGAGAGTAGTTATTCTCGCTAGCTCATTAGCTAGTCTAGGGCAGTAATTCAGAATAACTTAAACATGTTGTTTGTTTTTGCATTCAAACAGGCCTTTAAAACGTCGCTCCGTTGTGATGCATTGCTGAATTGCGTTCAACTAAGAACATTTCCAACATTTTTCTAATACTTCCAACATTAAGAAATAACATGTTTCTTTCTTAATCCAGCGGTCTCCTAATACTTCTTTTTTAGCGACCGCCAACATGTTTCTCATCTTCTCTTAAATAAAGGAGAGTTGTATCTCTCTGGTAGCATGAGGCTCATCCCAACCATCATCACTTTTTTAAGTCATTTTTTCTACACATATGTGGGTCCACTTTTATATGGATATTGGAGGAGATATATCGGGTATAACTATAGCAACTCTCCCAATATTTAAAAAAATAATGTTAGATTAACTTAATATCTCTATTATTAGGGACTGTTTAGAATAAAGAAATACAAAGCAGAGGAATAGAAAAAACGCACAAAAAAGATAGAGTTAATTTAATAGTGAAAAACTATAAGATTTCAAAACACGGGGCTCAATACTATGAGCTGTTTGGAATATAGGGCCTAATTGGTTTGTGTCCAAAATTTACCATGCTAAGGATTTGGCAAGCCAAAGTTAGATAAAAAATCTACCATAGATTTGGCAAGCCAAATGTGAGAGTTTAACAAGTTTTAGTTGCAAACCAAACAATAATCAAAATCATGACTTGTTAAATCTTTGACTTGGCATATTTTGAAAGCCATCCAATTAGACCCATAGCAGATAGAGAAGAAAAAAAACACAAGAACATGAGCAAGCATAGAGAGAGAGAGCAAAGATTTTTTTCCCCTTGAGTTATAGTGGATGTTTTATTTTCTATACGTTGTGCACTACTATGCAGCCTGTTCGTTTGGCTGTGGCTTGTCGTAAACGATCGTAAATTTCCAGGCGGAATAGTATTTTTCTCTCGCATAAACCGGTCAGCAGTACTTTTTCACGAATCAGCAACGAAACAAACCAACCAACCGAACCGGCCGGTGATTTCTCAACTTTCCTTTATTCCAAACACTATAACGTGATTCCTTTCCTAAGAAAATTTATAGAAAACAATTGATTTTTCGCAGAAAAAAACAACGTAGGAGCGACAACAAATCTTGCAGTTTAAAGAAAGCCTTAAAAATTCCTTTCCAAATGCTTTGACCCACACAGGAGGACCTTTGGTGGACATGCTCGCGATCGAGTCAGGGCACCCCCATTTCTCTCGTCCTCTTTCGCCGGCAATGATCCTGCGAAATCTTCTGCCGCCGGATACGGATTATGAACTGACGATGACGACGGAATGATGAACCAGCCGGCTTCCGTTGCGGTATCTCTTCTACTACAGTTCGACTAATTCTGCGGCGGACGCAGAGGATCCTATGCGATTGCGATCACGTGGCGGGGTCCGAGCACGCACTCGAGGACTCGAGGGTAGGAGACGACTACCCACCTCCACCTGAGTGGCTGTCTGCCTGTCTGGCTGACTCATCGCAACAATTTCCTTTGCTTTTAGGTGTGCGGTGCGCCTCGCCGCCTCCTGGCTCCTGCTGATCCGCCGATGCCCGCGCGGCCTCAACTCACGGTGCCACGGCGCATCAATGGAGAAGATCGGTGCGCGGCAGGTGGCGCCGTGTCGTGCTGCTGCCCCAGCTGCTTGAGCTGCCACATTGACAAGAGACGCGGCCCCTAGGAAGTGGGGTGGAGTAGGTTGTCTGTCTCCGGTGTTTTGGCTGGCCGCTGGCATGAGTTGAGTAGCCCCGCTGTGAAGTGGTTGTTCGTTTCCTTGCGAGTTGTACCGATTCTTTTCAGCTCCCAATGGTTGGTTCGCGCATTCATGAGATGTGAGGGTGAATGTGGTAGGTCTGAGGTTGGTTGGCTAGGCCCGTGGCAGCTGGCAAGGTCGCATGGTGACAGACTCGTTGTCAAGTGGTTCTTGCATGCAGTGATGCAGACGGAACGGAAGGGAAAGAAAGTTCGGCAGATCACGGTTGGTGATTCGCGCAGTATAGCTGAGGCTGAAACGATTGTATGCGATCGTGGATTATTATTGCTGACTGGTTTGGTGTGAGAGAAAAATACTGTTTTGGTTGAAAATTTACGATCGTTTACGATAAACGAACAGGCTGATAAAAAGTGGCAGAACGGTTGGCAAACAAGAGCACTGGTTTCGCGCAGTATAACCGTCCGTGCGCATGTAACGCATGTAATTGCACGGGTAACACAGCTACTCCTAGCGAACACTTCTTTGCAAGTGCAGCACACTTTGTGCCCCGACGCGTTAAATTCTCTATTTTTCCGTGTTCTTTCAGACGAGAAAAGGGCATCCAGTGCCCCCATCTCAGAAAAAAAAGGGAGCACCGAGTGCCAGCGTACGCACCACGCTCGTTGTCAACCGAGAGAGCGGCACCACCGGCTTTCGATGCCTAATTACGTGAGTGGAGGGAAAGGTGGTTTCACGAAAGAATCAATCAAATAAAAGAATGGAAAAGGGGGGGTGCGATGCGACGGACAGTTGATAGAACAGGTACTGTTGCTCTTTATGGAGCTTTTAGGGCCTGTTTAGTTTTACCCAAAAGCTAAAATTTTTTGCGTAGTATTCATCGCATCAAATTTTACGGCACATGTATGGAGTACTAAATGTAGACGAAAAAAAACTAATTACACAGTTGGATGAGAAATCGCTTGACGAAACTTTCGAATCTAATTAGTCCATAATTAGACACTAATTATCAAATACAAACAAAAATACTACAATACCCAAAACCAAATATTTTTGCCAACTAAACAGACCCTTAGTTTTTGAAAACTCTTCTCGTTGTGGACCACGGCCTGTTTTTACTGTGTTCCCTTCGCCTCCGTGGTACTAGTGTACAGTAGTGGTCGTGGTCTCGTAAGATGCATGACCAACGCATGTGTTAAATATAGATTAATTATGAAACTAATTACGTAACTTATGACTAATTTGCGAGACGAATTTTTTGAGCCTAATTAATCTATGATTTGACAACGTGATGCTATAGTAAACATGTGCTAATGACAGATTAATTAAGTTTAAAAAATTCATCTCGTGGAGTACTGACGGATTATGTAATTTATTTTTTTATTAGTATCCGAACACCCCATACGACATCCTTATTTGACACCTTATAAATTTTAGTCACCGAATCCAAACACCCTACTTACTAGCATATGATTCCTGTCATGGTTCAATGAATACGGTGCTGAGTGGTTGATGGATCATTCATTGTTTTTGGTTTCAAATTATTGTGTGAAAGCCAAAAAACACATTGTTTTCTCTCTCAAAAAAACCAAAGACCAAATCAAATTTGAAAACAAACCCATTAGATCTGCTGCGGCAAATAAAGAATGCCATGTCCTCCATTGTAATGTTGGCCAGTGAGATGGTTTCTGTCTCAACTCAGTCTCAACCGTGCGCAGTGGTGTGGAGTTTTATACACAACGCCTTACGTAATCAGGGGACGTCAAAAATACTGCTCGACTTTATTTGTGAGAGAAAAATTCATCGTCTAAATTTTACCCATGACGCTCTAAACCAATGATTTCGTGAGTGAACTGGCCAGCCAGCCAGCCGGCAACGTACTGTAATCATACAGGTCATGTTTGCTTGTCCACTTGTTTCTCTGATCTGAAATTGAAGTTCATCGTCTAAATTTTACCCCATCATAGAGGGCTCTAACCAATCTTGTATTTTTTTTCCTTGTTTCACGCTATACGTCGTAATTCCTTTTTTATCAAGTATGTCGGAATAGAGATATATCTGAGAGACTCA